GCCACAGAGCTCACAAGAGCTCTCTTTATGAGTCTGCGTGGTCATATTTGTGGACACCGTAGAGAAACGTCTTGTGTGCCTGTAAAGTACAACTGCAGGGAAACACTGTGAACCCTGATGGGGAATGGCCAGGAATGGCTTTTTAACTCTGTTAGAGGGGTAGCTACATAAAACAAAGCTAATGTATCATTTTATTCCAACAGTTAAAGTGGGCATCTAGCTATCGCACTCTAATAAATGAATTTAATCACTTGTAGTAGGATCTGGCAACAAGTGGCTAACGCAAGTGGCAAGCAGCGTCCAGCTACACTACAAACAACAGCAAAATAAACCTTCATTCCAAGCACGGTTAACACATTTAGAAAACCTTAAATAACCTACTTGCTGGGAGTTTTGGCTGGGACTTGGAGCAGCAGCAGAGCAATCACTTTTTTGAGAGTTTGGCAGACCTGATGTCACCAAATCGAAACAAAGAAATTGAAAGAAAAAGTCATTTAAAAAAAATCTCTTAACAGAATCTCATCTCATTATTCTTTCTCTGCTAGTTCACTGTCACAAACTGCCACATCAAAAACTATAAATAATATTTAGAAGAAAATCATGACCATGGGTAGACAGGGGCTTTAAGAACAAATAAGCCATTGTGCGAAACAGTGATGTCTTTTTTGTGTGCTTCTCAAAGGTAGATGCTGAAAATCTACTAACTATTCAGACAAAGGGGACAAGAGATCTCAATTAATGGTCTACATGAGTTCAATTACAATATTCCTGTTTATTTAATCTATTATGGTGACGATCATGCAAGTTTGCTAAATCTAATTTGCACAGTGTCCCCTTTACCCCAGATGTAGTCAATGAGTGCATTTACATGCACTTAATAGTTCGATAACTGTAGAAAATCAGATATTTCCAGTAATTTGATCAATGCGTTTACATGCACTTGGTAATCTGATAATGGGAAAACTCCAGGTTTACATGAGTCAGGCAATAATCGGATTTCTGCTTTGCAAATGGCCAAAGAATTCACAGACCTGATGTAAAACTCCAACGTCATTCCGCAGATTTTTTTAAAAATATCGAGTCACTTTACCTGAAAGAATGAACATACATCATATAGAAGATGAAGAATATTTAAATCCATCATTTCTTCTAGCATGTGTTTGGTTTCAGCATCGCTCTAAAGGGGGTTTAGTTGCTGTCTCGTGGCAATGCTGCTTACTTATTTCCAGTACTATGGTTTTTGCACATGCGCAGACTGAGAAATAAGTTTACCCTGAGAAATCTGATAACTAAGCTAAAACCCAGATTTCTCAATCTGATTTCTAGACTTTACTCTGATCTAAGAAATCGGTGTATGCTGTTTACATAACCATATTACTGCAGAAATCCGATTATGATGGGATTATTGGGTGCATGTTAACGCACTAGAATTATGATACAACTGTAGCTAAGACGTAAAGAAAGCTTATACACCACCAATTAGCACCACGCTAACTGCCTAACATACCTAAATCATCATACCTTATCAAACAGACCTTCTTATGTAGGTTTTGCCACTGTTATCTATAAACATGGACAAAAAGTGCCTAGCTGAAAACAAAAGTAAAAGCAAACTTTGAACACCTGACAGGTCTTGGCTGATCAACTACATTTAGGGTAAATTAAAATTTTCACCTCAGTTTAAGAGATGTTGAAAAATGTCCTGCTGCTTTAGACACAAGAATCGGCAACTGCTGCTTTCTTAAAGTCATAAAGAAGAATTCCACAGATTTTTAAAAATTATCCCACATTTCAATCATCATAGTCATTTCATGTGAAATAATAAATCATAGATAAACTTATCAACTTCAAATCTTCTTATTAAGGTTTCTCTGAATATGGTATATGTGGTATAATAGTGGTGTAATAGTGGTAAATATGTAAAAAAAGAACTTTCTTTGGGGACTATTTTGTCTTGCAATGCCCTGTATGTACCTCTCCACCAGGAATGGCTTTTTAAAAAATGTGTTTTCTAAATCTTTATCTTTAAAGCTTACCTCAAAATTGTCATTAAAACAATGTCTCAGGCATGAGACAGAATATTTATAACCATTCCAAGTAGTAACCTTCTACAAAGGAGCTAGAATTGATCCACTCTGAATGACTTTTACTTTGTACAACTTAACCACTTTATGATGCGTGCACACACACACACACACACACACACACACACACACACACACACACATTTTCTAAGCTGCTTATCCTTCTGTGTCGCGAGCCTATCCCAGCGGTCACTGGGCGGAAGGCAGGAAACACCCTGGACAGGTCGCCAGTCCATCGCAGGGCAGACAGACAAATATATTTACGCACACACTCACACCTATGGGCAATTTAGCATATCCAGTTGGCCTGAGTGTATGTTTTGGGACTGTGGGAGGAAACCGGAGCATCTGGAAGAAACCCATGCAGACACGGGAAGAACATGCAAACTCCACACAGAAGGACCCTGGTTGCCCGGCCGGTACCTCTGAACAACTGCTCTGTACTACAACTACAAAACAGTAGTAGTGTAGATCTTGAAGCCTGAATTTTGACCATACTTTTGTTTACAGAGGACAATGTGTCACATTCGCAAGTCTTCCTGAAATTAATGAACAATTCAACACGGATCCGCATGGGGGACAGGAGTGGGGTGGTACTGGGCGGCTGGTACCACATATACACGCAACAAAAATAATTAGCGTGCACAAATTTAGTTTCAGTTTGTTTTTGCTGCCTGCCTTTATAGAGGCATGTAGAAAAAGCAGTTGTTTTAGTGGGACTTGAAAATAAATGACCCTCTGAGATCTTGAAACAAATCAATGTTTTGTCTTTGTACAAACGTTGTGTGCGGTATGCTTCAAAATAAAACTACAAGCCCTATTCCAACTGTAAATATAAAACTGCCAGTCTGAATTTTGTTACACTGTGGATGCAGAGAGGATTTTGACTTATCAGCTTGTTTACGCAACAAGACAACATTAAACTCTTACTTTTACATAGTGATAACTGAATAGTGAAGATTTTCCGATCAGCTCTAGATCTTTCACTGTCTGATGTTTTAAAGTCTGCCTTAATTTTAGATCTGTTTTACATAGATATATCTCTTACAAACAGATCTGGCTTTAAACAATTTAACATCATAAATACCAATATTCCTTTGTTCTCCACAGTGGTGTGTGTGCGCATACAATTCCAACAAAGTCATTCTTCATTTTTGTACCAGCAGTGATTAAATATAAGTGGTCGCAGGCATTACATAAATTCCACCCTGTGTGGGTATAAAACAGTTGAAAAAAGCATTGATGTAACTTCCCAGTTTGCCAAGCATCCAAAACTCTGCCAAGTCCGCACTTCTCAATGTGCACCATGATGGACAGCACCAGAATGACATCACCCAGCTGCAAAACCCTCGTCAGCAAAATACTGATTATGGATTTGTGCTGGGGTTGTTATCCCTGAAAAGCCGGAGCAGCTTCGGTCTGTGTAATGAACGACTGTAGCACAGCTACATGTGCCCCACTAAACACATTTGAAAAAAGCTTTAAATATCGCAAAACCTTCCACTCGAAATATTTTTTTTTTTTTAAAAGGTGAACTCCTCTTGGATCACGTATTATAATTATGTAGATTGATATCTGTATTAAATGTGTTTCCATAGTACCGAGTTCACATTTTCCATTCAAAACACAGGCTTTCTCAGTACATCTGTAAAATAGCAATTCATAGGGTGCTACATCGATGTGATGCAAACCACACATTAGAGGAACTCAAACAAACATCTCAAACACACTTCTTTAACACATTATTTTACGATTCAAGAAAAACTGAATTCTTCATGTTTTTTTATATCCTGTGACACAATGACAAGAAATAGCCTACATTCATGTTTCAAGTTCAGTGCATGTCAAAGTTCAACAAATTCGAATTTTGGCCACAGTGCACCACAGCGTCTTAACAAGCACATTAAAAAAAAATAATAATAAAATAAAATAAAAAAATGTAACTGACATCATGAGACTGGCAACCTCACTAAAATATCTCTCACAAACCAGAAATCTTTTTTATAATGTGATAGTTTAGAGGCTTTGGCAATTTTAGGCTGCAGTTTGAATGGTGGTGTTGGTCTATAACAGTGCTGAGGATAAAGACTCAAATCTGAGGGAGTGAAGTCAAGTTACAGGTGTTGGAGTGACATTTTCTGTGATATGTTTAGCATAATTAACGTAATTGGCCTACTAAGCTAGCAACAGCACCACCTGTACTACTTTTGTTTAACATTTATCAATAGTTCAGCTTATGCTTTAACAGTTAATGGGTGATGATCTAAAGATTCCGCTGGTTCATTTTCTGATTATTGCTACAGTGTGAGATTATTTTAGGTTTTTTTTTTTTTGTGCTCCATCCCATCCTCTCAATCTGGTCAAACACAGAGCACCATATTCCCTATTCGCCTAAAGTAAAAAGCACTGTGTTCCTCATGTTGAAGGGATATGAGAGGGGGTTTGGAAATGGGGAAATAAGGGGGCGTTTACAGATTAAATAACTGTGCATATGTATATATCTTTGCATTCACAATGAGTGTTAAGATTTAGGGATGCTCCTATACTATTTTTAATTGCTTTAGTAGTTTATGGTTTAAATGATTAGCTGTAAGCTGAACATGCACTCTTAAAACAAAGGTGCTAAAAAGAAACTTTGCTGGTGTTCTGAGAACAATGGACTGAATGTGTTTGAGATTGTGAGAAACCGAATACACACTAAATGCAGAAACTTTTTATATTATAATTCACTGTTGAAGCTTCTGAATAATTTTCTGTTGAATACCTGTTTTATGCTGTTTTACCTGATGCTGAAAAATGAATAACTTGCTCTAAATGGTGGCAATTAAACAAATAAAAGGGTGGTCTGTGTTGGTGGACATTTGTGTGGTTCCATGTCCTGACACTGTATGTGTACACATTTGTGTGTATCTGTACCTGGAAAGCAGGAGGTGAGGTGCTCCATCAGGGCGTCCTGTGTGACGGGCTTGCGGGCGGAGTTCATGGCTGAAATCGCCAAACACAGAATTTCTCCCAGCGGAATAAACTGAGACTGGCTGATCGGGGACATACTAATGGGAGACACATCACCTACAGGGGGAGGGAGAGGGAGAGAGGGAGAGAGAGAAAGAGAGATACAGAGAGACAGAGAGAGAGAGATTTATATCAGCTGTTACAGACAGAAATTATTTTATGTCTTCTGTTAGTAGTGGGCTGTACGAGCATAAATTCATATCACAATATTATTAAGCTTACTGGCGGTTTGGGCATATATCACGGTGTATTTATGTATTTTTATTTCCAAGTAAACCTTTTTTATAGGTTAACAATATATTATTCTGGATGTCCCTTCACTTTTAATAACTGAAGTAAATCTAAAATATTTTATTGAGCAAAAAAGAAAAAACAGAAGTTAGTAATATGTGTAACGAGCCAACAAGAGCCAGACGCTTGCGGTTACAAAACACAATTGAGGCTTTACTGTTAGGATCAGAATCCAAGTTCGTAGTCACAAAACAGGCAGGGGTCAATTCCAAAATGAGCAGTAAATACAAACAGATGATCATCACCAAGGGCAAACAATCCAAGAGGGTTAAGCAAAATGGCAGTGGCAAGGAAAACAGGCAAAAAGGTCAAAAACAGGAGTCAAACCAGAAAGGCAAACAGTCTAAAGGGGAAAGGCAAAAGGCAGAGTCAAAAAACGGAAAGCAATGGTCATAAACAGTATACAGGCAAATAGTAGAATGCTCAGTAGATCACAAAAGATACAATACCTCGCAATTAGCTATGGCTACAGCCCGGGCTTATAAACTAAACTAAGAAGGTCATATGACATGAGACACAGGTGAAGAGAATCAGTATTCAGGAGATCTAGAGCGCTGATTGGAGCGTACGGAGAGGTCAGGAGTCATGTGATCTCCCAGAGGGTTCTGGGAGATGGAGTCTGAGTGAGACTGTGTGTGAGGGAAGCTCAAGAGTCATGTGATCTGGGAGATGTAGTCTGGGTTCGTCTTGGAGCTTGACGGATGCGTGACAATATGTAGACACAAGTTAATATTGCTTCCTAACCCCAACAAGATAAAAGTGAGTGTATGTAAAGTTCACTGTGGCTTCTCTAAGCATGGCAAAAATGGTGCAAAATGTTATTTTGTGTCCAGAAGTCATTTGTCTGATATCTGCTTCTCTTACCTTCACGCTTTAATTCACAACCGGCAGATGGTGCTGGAATTTAGTAAATATTACAAGCTGTTCACTCTATCAGTTTTAGTTGAGAAGCTGTGGAACCTCTTGCCCGAGACTGCGGCTTCACCAGAAGCAGCTGGCTGAGCAAGGAGCGCCTTAGGTGGTGCACACAGAAAGCCAGCTACTCTCCATGCTATGCTAATGGCTAATGGCTAATACGAAGAGACTGGCTTTTTTTTTCTTCCACTCTTTTTTCCCCTCGTTAACTCATTCACTCATTACACTCATTCACTAAAACAGAGATATTCAGTACTGATACTCCAAGAAATACCCCCAGCAGAAGCTATATATTATCACTACTGTACAAGAAAATCTTGTAAATCCTTTTTCCTTTACTCATTTCACGGTGAATGGATTAGTGATGCAACAGTGTGATAAACTGGATTGGTATCAGCACCAATACTGACCTTATTAAACAGAACAAACATCTGTGGGATGTGACCACGTTCAGTGCTGTTTCTTATTGATGATGATGTGATTTTAATAAAACAATTTTTTTTCTAGAACAATATTTAAAATTTTGTATAATTAAAAAAAATGGTAGATTTATGTTTATGTACTTTGCTGCAACAAAATATTAATGCACTGGTATTAGATTGGCATTCAGTATGGAACAATAACTTGAGTTCAGGCATTGAAATCAGTATCATGAGAGAAATATTGGATAGGTGCATGCTTTTTTTAATTTTTACCTGGTTTTCCTTCCCAATAGCTCTCCCTTACAACCAAGCTATGAGAGTGAAGGCTAGCACATGCTTCCTCCGAGACAAATTTAACGCCACCTCATCTTTAGGTGGCATCAAACTGCCTCTAAAGCAATGTCATTGGACAGCTCATCATGTTTGAAGGAGAACATTAACCGCCAATTCTGTTACATCAGCTAACAGACACCTGTGTTGGCTAACATCACGCTGACTGATGTGGTAGAGAGGGAGATTCTTCCTACCCACCAAGAGACAGCAAGACCAGTTATGCTCTCTTGGTCTCCTGGATGGCTGTGGCATCACCAAGGTTCGAAATTGCAATCTCTCTACGATCGGGCCAATGCTTAGACTGCATTTCTCATGAGGCTGCATGCAAGGACATAAACACTGAAGGGTACACAATTCTCGCCTTCACCAAATCTATGCCTAAGTAAAACTGTCGCGATATATTACACTACAATATATGATATATATGACAAAATAGACCAAAGCAAAAAACAAACTTATGGACTGAACAGTCCTACAAAACACTGCATCCTCTTAAAGTGAAAAATAACTTGTTAGGAACGGGATGAAAAAACCCAGAAAAGATCATTTATTTTTAAGTGGGTGAGAAACAGCCATGAATTGTGGTTGGTTGGCACATATTTAACTATTTAATGTGAGTTTAATAACATCCAACATTTTCAAATGAGTATATCACTTTTTAAATATGGTCAAGAGATTTGATAAACTGACTAAATTAAAAAATACTAAGTAGAGACACAACTTCTGAGATTTTTCTGTGGCCCCTTTAGCACTTCCCCCAGTTTAAGAACAACTGATTTTGAGCAGAGGGTCAGATATCTCTTACACTGTGCAAAGACAAGAGCAGTATGAAGGTCAACAAGGGTGCGTGTTGAGTGTGTGTTTGGATGTGACCTTAGACTGATGATTCAGCATTCAGCTCTATATTCCTGCACAGGCAGAAAGACCCTCAATTATAGTGCACGTCAATATTGACCCACAGAAACACACACACACATACTCATATTTGATTTATAAGTAAACACAGACTGCAGTAAAATTCAATTCACTTCTATTAAATCATACATCAGGGGAGACTATATTTCGTCACATCCTTACATTGTTACAGATTACTGTAATATCACTGTAATACAATACAACTTTTTCTTTTCTGATACTGATATTGAAACCTTAGGTATCAGATGATCCTTGGTCGACTTTTTTCTTTAAAACTACTAAACTTGAGCTATTTTTCATTTAAGCATTGCACATAAAACATCACATTCATACTACTCAAACACTTTACTATCCCATGGGAAAAAATACACAGCTAACAACATTGACATCAGGCTGGATTCATTCTTATTCTCCCTCTGATAACCCATCCTGCATTTTCTGCTGATTTCAGCATGATAACAGTGCCTTGTATGGGACTGGAGACATGTCTATTGTCAGTTTTACTTTTGACTTGCCTATTCATCCCTGTCAAAACTATAAACTGTCTAATAGAGACAACTGAGATGCAGCCACAGCAATACTTAAAATAGCATATAGTAGGATAAACGGTGATTTGGACAAAATGCTAGTATTGTGATAATATTGCTACATATTGCAAATGTGATATGCCTTGCAATATATTAAAAATGCCATGGTGAATGAATAATATGACATGGTTAAGGATAGGCCTACATTATTTTGACCAAAATAATTCACTTTTGTTAGACTGTATGAATACTTTTAGTCATCAAAACAGTACAGACAGTGTTGTAGCAAGCTAAGCTACCTGTTATTTAATATAAAAAAGCTCATAGCTATATGAAAGCCAGCCTTTAGAGAAATGCTGCTAGCTAAATTTAGCTTGCTACAGAGAAGTTGCTTCATGACTGATGTCTCTGAGGCTAATTAAAATTATAATGACACTGACACTGGGGAAATTGTTCACACTTGCCTTTGAAAACTCTATGCTGGGCTATAAGCTTGTCAAATGTAACAACAGTAACCAATGTGGCAACACTTAGTGAAACATCAGTTTCAACTAAACAACACAGAACATACAACTTGATTGACTAAAATGTATATTTTATAAATTATGTAGAGTCAGTCAATGCTACCCCAAATAATAAAATACCTTCACTGAAAAGTTACTTGATTTGGAACATAGCAACATAACCAGAGAATTCCAAGTGAAGTGAATTGCCACTCAATGATGTCTTCCCAGTTTGTCAGACGCAAGATGGCACTCTCGAGAGAGTCCAAAATGAATGGGTTCTTATGGAGCTTTTGTGCAAAATCATGTTTTGCAAATGCGTAATCATTTTGCTCTTGTACACTTGTTTTCATAATACACACTATCATACAATATTCCAACACTGCTGTTATATTTTTGAATACTTTTAAACTCCAGTTATAGGACTTTTTAACAGCGCCTCCTGTACACTCATGACGTCAGTGTGTGTGTACAGTTTTAGCCAATGAGCTAATCAGTTTATCGACCAGTCAACACTCAGTAGCAGTCTGGCTCCCCATAAACTGGCTCTGATGTAACCTCCACACTACTGGGAAATGTAGTTAAGCTAGTAGCACTGCTACATGTAGCAAAGCTACTGCCCAACACTGCCACAGAAACACTCGCCTGGGATTTGTTAAGGACAAAAACACAGTCAAAAACAAAGTGATTGATCAGAGGGCTTGTATGTTTATTGCAGTCTTTTGCAATATCAATACTGCAAAAGCCTGTATCATGATAACAATAAACAAACAACAGATTATGCAACTCTAAGATTAGTTAATTATGATACATTTAACATTTACCATGCAAATAGTACAAGGCAGCATAGAAAAACAAGAGTTTATATGTACAGAACACAGCACCTGAAAATTATAACAACTACTCAAACAATTATGAACAGAAGAGTTGCTAAATTTACAGGATGTTTGCAGAGATGTTCCCCCAAAGACTACATCAGCAAAAACTGCAATAATACATTGCTTTATGTGTCAGTGAAGCCTGTAAGGGCTTCTATATGGGAATATGTCGCCTGATTCTTGAGAGATTGTTTTGCAATAGTTTTAAGAATAGTTTTTGGCCTAAAACATCTTTTTAAAACTACGTTCATGGTGGCAGAGTACATGCAGGGC